TATATAGAACAAAAAAGTGAAGGCGCTAGCGTAGTTGGAAAGGCCCTACTTGGGGAACAGAGTAATCACGGTCTCCAGGCTCAGTCAGAATTCGAAGGGCGCGCACAACGATGCGTTGCTCGAAATTGACGAACATATCACTGCAACGGTACATATTTCTCATGGCACTCAACTGATGACCCACTACTGATTGATAATGATGTCTTCGATATCTGCTCCATCAGACCCTGAAAAGCAAAGATTTGTACTCGAGCTAGATACACATATTAGGCAGCGTTCAGACTTCGCGATGGCAGCGCTTTGGTCACGCGTTCGACGCGATCGATGCAGTCAAAAGCATGCGCATCGATCGCGTCGAACGCACGATCGAAGCGCTACCGTCGCGAAGTCTGAACGCTGCCGTACCGGCAGATTGGGGAGACGGACAAGAGAATCGCAATTTGTCGCTTCGCCGCGCGCGGCGATGGGCGCGGCTTTATCTTAATTCTGTTAACCTGTTGATTGGAGCACCGAATTGATGTGGACCCCGTCATCGTAGACATTCATGACTATTTGGTTCTGGATTGTCTGTTGTTGCGGTCAGCTACCTGAAACCATTGTCATTCGTGAGCGCGACGTCGCAGCGACGCTCACCAGCGCGGCAAATTGCGATTCTTCTGTCACATACCCGGCAGATTGCATACTTATACATACTCATACATACTTTGCTTCAGCGTTTCGAGCGACCCGAAAGTATAGATGTCAATCTAGCACTCTGAGTGCACCCCAGCGTCTCAACCACTGTCCGCGAAATTCAAAAATATCGGAAATCTCAAAACGCTGGTGTTTGCTCGGAACGGTACCTGTACTTCCTAGTCGTTTGAAACGCTGACGTGCACTCGAAACTCTCAAACACTCTCTTCACACAGAACGCTGACGCAAAAGATGAACTCAGTTCTACTGTAGCTTTTGCGCCAACACTGTCTTTCTTTCAGATAGCACTTTCAGGTTCGGTGAATGGAGAGTCAGTAGCATTAGCAAAAACGATTCAATCATTTACCCATCCATTATAAAGAGAAGAAATCCCACGCTACCGACATTTAGCCTCTTTTAGAGTCAAACATCCGAAACGGGTCAGGTCCATACTTTTTCGTACTCACCAAAAAATGGACATGGACAAAGAAGATAACAGTTAGGTGATCCATTTTCTGAACTACACGTTGGATGGGGTAAAACCTACCAGCCTTATGCAAACAACTTTCATTTTTCTTCCGAAAGTGCTTGGAACGCACCATTTCTAGGAATGGTGCGTGAACAGCACCGGTTTCTTCGCGAGAAAAACAAAAACGACTGAATTAAACCTTACCCCGCTTTAAAATCTCGATATCCTTAACACGTTCCATTGGATTAGGAGCATGAGGTCGTTCATCTCGCCGACAGCCTTTCGTTTTGGTGATCTTGGCCGGCCGCGAAGCCTTGTATGCCTCGAATGCACTGCTCAACTGAAAGTTGTGGTAAAATTGAAAGTAGGCGGAACGAGAAAAAAATATATGTTGTCACACTTACGGCGTCATGAATTGTGTCTAGTTCGCTTGCTTTCAAGACAAACATCACATCTTCCACATTTACTGTTTTTCGTTTCTTCGAGGCTGCGTGTTCTTCTGCTTGCGATAAAATGTAAAGAATGAAGACAGAGCAAGCACGCATCATGTGGACTCGTGCATCCTGAAACTCATTAAAATTTACATATCGATTACAATATATAGACTTGCAACATGACTCATGGTCTCACTTAAAAGACGTAAATGCTTCGTAGATACAGCCAGAATCTGAAAGCAGCAAGAGGCAAGGTTGCGAGCTACATTATGCCATCTCCCATGGAGCGGCACAGGCGTACCTCTTGCTCACCTTCGCAAATGGCGTATCACAGGTTGAGTTCTGCGCGGCGCCAGCTGTTTTTCTACCTTGTTGAAGCGGAGCAAGTGACAACAATTGTCAGAAAACAAGCTGACGCTGCGCGAAACCCAGCCCAACTGACACGCCCTAGCATCCGCGGCGAACAAACCTGTTTATAGATGTAGGACAGAGTCGGCACAGAAGTATAGAACGACGCAGCCATCGCCAGTACTCTCCACTTTGCTCTCTGATAAGTACGATATTCCGAATAATAGTACACCAGAAGCTCTGACATAAGCCTGACCACGCCTTCTTCAGTCCAGCTAAACCCATAATATTCCGATGTCCGCCTTTAGTACTTGTGTAACCTGTGTGTTCTTCCGCGTCCCTAGCGTCTCTTACGTTGAGACGGTCTTTAGGACCACGCGAAGTCGCGTGCGCGGCAATCTGCAATTACCTGCGGCCTGCAATGGAGCACACGTTCGCGAACTCACTGCGTTATATTTGCGTTGTTCGTAAGGTTGTGTTCGCTTGAATTTTAAGTATCGCTCTTCACTCTGGTAGGATCTGGATTTTTTATGGGCGTGAGATTTTGTTTCAAAGAACTGGCAGTGATTACATAGCAGCTATGATGCATAGAAACCTCCACAGATTACTCGCAATCTAATTCAGCTTACTCATATGACTCCTCCCCTCCTTCGTCCTTAATCATATGACTGTCACAGTGCTTTCTATACAGCATACTCCAGAGACTGTACTTATTGTCGTATTGTTGAGGTACGGCGGACTGGACTGTCTGTGGAGAAAAGAGCAGCTAAATATCCCTGTCGCAATAACAGAACCATCTCGAGCGCACCGCATGTAACCATACGGTATTTGTGCTTGTCGCGCGCGACGCCGCGTGGTCCTACCACCACATACCTCATTTCATTATAGTGTAGTTCGCTGCGGACGATTGGTGCGGCTGC